GTGTCCACGATACAGTCATCACCTTGCACACATTAGCTTTTCTGACTGAATTGCCGGTCTCAGTGTCTCTCTCCACCTAATTCCCAAGGACCCCTCTTCTGTCCACCCCCATTTGTACCTCACCATCTCTTATTCTGTCTCTTGCTCCATCCAAACCTTCATCTATTGCTAATTTGAGTGTCTACCGTCCCTGCATCTTGACCACTTCTGGTCAATAGCCAGTTGTGGCTAAATGATCCTTATAAATTAAAATCAGATCAAGGCAGTGTTTTCACTTGCAACTCTTCAACACATTCCTGACAAAATACAAGAATATTCTCAGCTTTTCCTCCAGCCCTATCTTCCCCCTCTTTCCATCTCTGCCACACCCACCCTGAACTGCTTGCCGTTCCCCAGCAGGTCCGGGCCTCGGCCTTCCAGGCTGCTCCTTCTGGGCAAACGGCCATCACACAACATCTGCTAGGTGACTCCTACTCTTCAGATTCCTAACTCTTCATCTCAAAGATACCTCCTCCTCCTCCTCTGGCCTCCTTGCCTGGCCACCCCACTTTCCCACCTCTTTGTGGGGTCATGCTCCCTGCTGCACTCTCCCTTGCTCCTGTGAGAATCACTAGACTCACAGCATTTATCATAGTGGTCAGAGACATCCTCCTGCAGGTTGGTTCTTTGGGGCAGAATCACATCTTTTTGCCCCTACATCATCTAGATCACTGTCTGGTAAATGGTAGGTACAATGAATGAATGCTGCTGAATGAGTAAATGTGTAGGACAATCCACAATCTCATAGACATCTATCTGCGGATCACTAGAAGAACCCAGTTTAAAATAAAGAATCACGCTGAGTAGAAGTATTTCCAGTATCAACATGCTGTGCTTTCCCATTTTAAAATTTTATTTTATTTTCTATTTTCTAGGTGAGCAATAGAAGAGAGTCTAAGTAGAAGGAATGGAGGTAGGAATGAATGTTTTATTTTTTACCTAAACATAAAGTGTTATTTCCCAACAATTTCAAAGCATTTACACAACCACCTTCCTTATGGTTTTAACGCATTTAATTAATATCATCATTTTTTCCATGTATAGTATTTTGCATATTGCATAGTGGTTAAGAGCAAGCAAGGGCTTTGAAACCAAATTGGGCCTGAACCCTGACTTTACCACTTACTGGCTATATGATCTTGAGTTAGTTACTTAACTTACGTTGCTTCAATTTCCCATCTCTAAAATGGGGATTAAAAATGAAACCATTTCGTATCACTATTGTTAGGATTAGAGTTTAAACAGCACTTGACAGATTGCAAATGCTCAATAGAAGTTTGCTATTATTAATCATTTTTATCTCCTCTAGTAGGCTGCCTGCTCCTCAAGAGCAAGGACAGCAGATGTATTCATTTTCAGGACTATCTCCCAGTGCCTTGCACACAATAACATACCGGGCTAATGTTTTCAGAACAGATGAATATAATGAACTGTTTATAGCAAAAATATGTACATTATTAAATATGATGACTAGAACAGACAGAATTGCTCCAATAATTTGGAGGCCTGTGGGGAACAGGGACCATGTAGAACATTGACAGTTTACCCTGCCCAGGTAACCTCCCTGGAGCACGCAAGGCTCACAAGTCCCACAGTCAGGGCAGCTGTGTGATGGAGGGAATCGGGGCTCGGGAGAGACCGAAGAGCTGGGCTGACTGAGGCTCCCTTCCCATTAGCATGACCTGGGGCAAGAAGTTTCTTCTCTGGAATCTGCTTTATTTCCTCTTCCAGTTAACAGAAGGTAGGACTGTGATTTCTAAGAACCCCCTTAGCCACTTTGGGAGTCTCTAAAATCAACAGATAAAACACTAGGACAAGAACAGTGCTACTGGAATTTAAAAATTAAAAACAATATATCGAAGGCAACCCAGGAACTATCACATCACTATATTATAAGGGATTGCTGAGATGGAACTGGCCACTTGAACTAACAAAAAGCAAGGTGTTTTGAAAGGTGTTTAAAATGAAAAGACCTGAACTTGTAAAATCAAAAGAACAAAAGCAATTTCACTTTAATTCAATTCTTGTCAGCCTACAAATTCCTTGAGGGCAATGACTGTGCCTTGTGGAGTGGCAGCATATGACAAAGCTGCTGGCCAAAAATACATTTCTTCTTGATCTTTCATCTGCTCCCATGGCTAACCTAAATTTCCCAGGCTACTTTGCAGGCCAAAGAAGTAGCCCTCATGTAAAAGACATAAATAGAAGTGACAGGTGTCATGTCCAAACCAAGGTATTTAAAAAGTGGGTGCACCCCCTTCACTCCCTCTTTCGTCCTGCCCTCTGAAAGCAGTTTACAACAGAGCACGATGAGACAGATGACAGAGCATGGGGCCCAGAGCCATTGCATGGAGGAAAGCCACCTCGCCCACGAACCATAAATACCTCTTTTGGACTATTACATGAGGAACAATAAATGTCTACTGCTTTTGAGCCATTATATTTCTGCAGGCCTATTTGTTATAGCTACTAACATTAGCCTAATTAATCCAGAGCCCAGCACATACTAAAGACCTAACTTAATATTTCTTGAGACAAAATAAGTAAGACCAGGTTCCTTCTCTCAATGCTGATCAACTAATGATGGAAACAGACACATGCCAAACCCAATGCCTGCTGCTGAAGTTTGAAAACAAAATTGGAAGCATGATGTGTTTGAAGGGGAAAGGATGGAGAAAGCTTTACAGAGGAGGTGACTTTTGAGCTGAGCCCTGAAGGTTAAATGGTATCCAAGCAAATCAGATGGTGTTGGAGATTCCAGACCCAGAAGGAGGCACAGAGTAAAGGCACAGAAAACCAAGTGTGCATTTGTTCACATTCAACCTTATCATTAAGTCTCTCTAACTTGGTCAACACAGTGCAAATTTACTGTGTACTGCCTTTCCTTCCTGGGTCTGGCATGAAACAAACAACCTTTTGTTTTTTCAGTACACTCATTAACCCTTGTGCTTTTTTTAATATAAAAGTTCCATGATGAATGTCCTTAGAAAGTGCAGAAGTAAATGTTTCATGAATCTTAACAATTCTTTTCTAATAAAATTCTTGAAAAACAAATGAGATAGTTCTATCACTTCTAAGAGTCAAGGTGCCATGCTCTTAGGAATCATCTGTTTCAACCTACGTTTTGACATTATTGATTAAGCATGTAATAGTCACTGGCTTACGAAGAGGAACATTAAGCCCCCGGATTTATATGAACATTTCTTCTTTTAAAAGGAACATCAAGCAAATGGTTTAGAGTTCAGTCAAAAGATCTCTACATCCTTTGCTCATAGCTAAGTGCCTCCAAAACCCGTGATAGTTAATAAACCACTTCCTCCAAAAATCTGTGAGTCCCTTCCTCAAGTATCCAAGGGGCAGGGACTCAGGAGGAAGAGAGCACAAAGGGTGGAAAGTATTTGAGTCACTTGAGTGGTGGGAGGAAAGACATGGGCCTCCGAAGCTGCCCTGAAGTAAGGAAGAGACAGTCTCCAGTGGTCTTCCAAATGTCACTTTAACGCCCCAGAAACTTGTTTAAACATAAGGACAAAGCAAAATTATTGGGCAGGCAAGATTTCATTTCAAAAGACTTCAGCGCTCTGTAGACTTGAGAGAAGCAGCAAGTCAGGCTGCTCCTCTCATATCAAACACCAATTTAATTCTCTGATTCAGAAACAACATTTTCTGCCCCCACATCAATTTATCCCACCTCAGCTCTTAGGACCTATGCCCCAAAAGAGAGGGCGTTAAAACAGCTGGGGGTGGGTGGATGGAGGGGTACCTTGAAAGTAAAGCGACTCTTAAGATGGCTGGAATCATTGCCCTCTTAAATCTAAGAAATACTGCAGCTGCCAGTCAACACTACCGGTCCATGAATACAGCAAAATGCTAGCACCTGCCACCCTGCATCTGGGGCCATTTATTCTTTGGTAAATGTGGCAGGAAAGACTCTCAGAGAGAGAAGATCGACTGCTTTATCTGAGAGAAAGGGAAGCCCCAGGGAAGAGAAACAAGCAGCACTGCGCCCATCCTTGGGTACTTTGTGCGGCTCCTCTCTGTGCACTGAAAGAGCTCTTTGTGTCACACACACACACACACACACACACACACACACACACACACACACGGAGAGTCTGTGTGATTTATTGAGGGAGGAGGGGCAAGAAGGGTTATTTTATTATCCCTCTTCTCACTGAGTCCCAGCAAATCTCCGCCTGGGCCCAAGCTCGGTGACCCCTTTCTGGCCCAGTCCCCTCCGCCTGCGGCCGCAGAGATAAGAGAGGGGAGCCGACCAAACAAAAACAGTCATCGATCTTGGGAAGTAGAGAGGAAATCCAGCGAGCAGGGAAGGGAGGCGAAAGGAGGTTGGGGGAGAAAGGGTGGGGAGCAGAGGAAGAGGAGTGAAGGCTCCACCACGGGGGACAGGGAAAGGGTGGGTGGGTGGTGGCACAGGAAGAGTGAAGAGGAGGATGGGGGAAGTGCAAGGGAGGTGCCAGAAATAGGCAGGAGGATGCGATGGGGAAGGTGACGGCCGAGAGGTGGAGGAGTGGGGCAGGGGTGGGGTGGGGAGGGAAACAGCAAGGGGCATCAATTATTAAGTGATTACATCATCCCTGACATTAAAACAACACACACAGCCCGGGTCCCCGCGGGGGGCCCCGAAAGGAGGGCGGGGGCGGAGTCTGGGCCAGCCTCTCCTCTAAGCCAATTCCTATTCTCACCCCGCGCCCGCTCACTGGCGAGAAAATGGGTCCCTGCGCTACCTCGGGGCCGCACCTCGCAGGGGTGCCTCCGACTCCGCAGCGGAAAGACTCCGAGCAGGGCCAACTCCCCGGCAGCCCAGCGGGGCGCCCAGGAGGTGGCAGCGGCCGAGAGACCGCAGCGCGGGCTCCACCGCGGGGGCAGCGGCGCTCCGGGGCCTCGGCGACCCGGGTCTCTGCAGCATCCCCGCGGCCTCCCACCGCGCATCCCCTGCCGCTTACCTGTGCGGCGCTCAGGCTCCGGACCCCATTCACATGGTCTTCTCCCCGCCCTCCTCCAGCGCGGCCCGGGCAGCTCCGGGGGCTCCGGCGGGATCGGGAGCTGGTGGGCCTTCCGAGAGCGCCGAGGGGGCGGCGCCGAGTATCCCCGGCCCGGCGGCCGGATCCCTTTCCGGTGCAGGCGGCGGCCGCCGGGCGGTGAGGTGCAGGCGACGGCTTTGTGTGCGCCCGGGGAGCCCTCGGTGCGCGGGGTGAAGCGCCGCGAGCCCGGACGGCGGAGGACGCGCGGCTCTTAGGGCAGCCTTGCCTCTGTTCCCGCGATCGGCGGGCGGGCGGGTCTCCGCGGCCTTCGGCTCACGACCCCTCCTCCTTTCCCGCGGCAGCCCCCTCCCCTCCTGCTCGGCTCTTGACAGATGGCGCAACTGCAACGACACTCCGCCGCTGCCGCGGCTGCTTGCAGCTACTCGCGTTGATGCTCCTGCCCTCAAGCCCCAACCCAGAGTGGGGAGGGGGCGGGACGCACTCTGAGAGTGGCAGTCCGCGCTACCCTATCAACGGGGCTCTAGGGAGCTTCGCGCGGCGGCCATTGGTGTTGGGGCGGGGGCGGGACTGAAATGGGTGGGGCTACCGAGAGGGTTGAGCGTTACTGTGGCAGCCGGCATCCTGGCGTGTTGAGCGTGTTGAGAGGGGACGCGAGGTTGGAGGAGTTGTGTGTGTGTGTTTTTAAGGATTGTGTGGACTTCTGAGGTAGTGAGTTAGGGCGGGGGAAGGAGGAGAGAGAGTGAACTGCAGTTTCTGCTTTGCGGAAGGTTGCAGCTGTGACTGCAGAAAGACATCTGCCATTCCCCCAAACCATGGGAACCTGCCTGGGGAGAAAGGGCTCTCTTGCCTTTCTGGGGTCTTTTTATTTGAAAGTGGAAGTATAAATTGGGGAAGTATTAGGGAGGTGAAAGCATTTTCTCTGATCAAACTGAAGAGTGCAAAACAAGGTAGAATCTCATCACGGAACCCTGGAAAAGCTAAGGCAAGCTTGGAAATGGGCAATTAATATTATTATTAATAATAATGAGGAGGTGGAAATTAGGCTTAATTCACTGGTCTCCTATTTTCGTGGACACGCACATATATTTATTTGCAAGAAAAAACATGGAGGAATTATTACTGAAATGCGGGGAGAAGGAGGAGAGGGCAGGCAGTGATTAAGGGATCTGCAATCATGGAGTACAAATTTGTTTGTAGTTTTTTCCAAATCATGTTTAATTGAATCCATTGGTTGTCTTTGGCTTCTCATGACATTCAGCCTTCTTATGTTTTTTGGGGTTTTTTTTTTTCCCCTTCACTGAATCTGAGCTTTGGGTCAGATTTTCCTTGATGGTGCCAGTTAAACATATAGTTGGGTGTGCATCAGTCTTTATTTCCTATCCAGCTTTTCTATGGCAGGATGTAACTTCATAAAAAGAAACACTTTGGCTTCCTGATTTTCTTCATAGGTAATTCCTGTTTACTGAAAGTTCTGCTTTAAGGCATGCTCAGATTCATTCTCCTTAATGATTTTGGCAAGAACCCTACCCTTCCCCCCCTCAGTAAATCTAATGTTCTGAGAAATATAAGTGAATTGGCTTCTGCTTCTGTGCTAAAAATCTATAACATTACCTTCCCTGCCCACTAATTTTTTAACTGTAGTTTAAAAATGTCAGTCACTCTTGATGAGGTTTTTTTTTTTCTTGTAAATACTTTTTTAAAAAGTAGTAATGTATGTTAAATAAGCCCAATTTTGAGGGGGAGGGGAGGAAACTGAGGGCAAGAGAAGTTAGTAACTAAACTCAAGGTGATACTATAGGGTTGTTACTGTGTTTTGTTTTCTCCTTAAAATGGTAAGTGAACCTATGTTTAAATTATGTACCTGGTCATTCATTCCATAGTCCCAAGAAATGGAACAAAAATTAGGACTAGAAGATTTCCACAGAAGAGAATTATCTCAAAAGAAGGAACCTTTCTTCCTCAGTACTAGCCTGCCATCGCTGTCCTCGGTTTATTTGAATGTAATTGTCGAGAGCAATGGTCCTCAAACCTTAGAGGGTATTAGAATTACCTGAAGGGACTTGTGAAAACACAGATTGGTGGGTCTCACCCCCAGAGGGCCTGATTCGGTAGGTTTGGAATGGGGCCCAAGAATTGGCATTTCTAACAGTTCCCAAGTGGTGGTGATGCTGCTGGTCTGTGTACCACACCTTGAGCACCACTGGTCTAGAACCTGGCTGTCCAATGTGGTAGCCACTAGCCATACGTGACATGTATTTGAGTATTTGAAATGTGGCAAGCCTATATTGAGATGTGCTGTAAATGTAACAGACTTATGGGATTTCTGAGATTTAGCATGGAAATAAAACCTCTCATTTTTATATTCTAAGAAGATAATAGTCTGAATGTGTTGTGCTAAATAAAATATTAAAGTTAATTCTCCTTTTTCTTTTAAGTTGTTCATGAAGCTGCTAAAGAATTTAAACTAGTGTATGTTGCTCATACTATGATTCTCTGGACAGCACTGGTCTAGAGCCGTTTTTGATTCCAGCTCTACAGTGCAACTGTTGAGAGCAACTTGATGAGGCAAATCATGTGTTTTCATTCATAGAATGCGGAAACAGTAAACTGGATTTCACACTACTTTTGTAAAAAGACTACCTGGACATGGAAGCATACCTTCTTCTTTTTTAAAGATAAACTGTCATATATTCTCAGAAAACCACCTTTAAAATATGTATCTCCTTGAAATTCCATGTGAAGATTAATTTTTCTTACATTAAATCTGGAGCGGGTGGGGTGAGACATCTCACTGTTATGGTTTCTTCAAGAAGAGTTACTTTTTTAGCTTCTATAACTCTAATAGTTTCTTAATCTAATTAGTGGACAAAGAAAAAAAAGACAGTGCAATTAAAATGACAGATTAACCTGCTTCCATCAAGTCTTCATCCTGTTTCTGTAATTCTTTCCTCACCCACACCCATTTATCTGTTGCCCTTCTTAAATGTAGCTTTAAATGGATTGGCCTCCTCTGGAGGATTTTCTAATGGTCTGAATGAGTGTGTAGAGCAGTTTTAACGATTTGAACACTCCTCCCTATTTTGATCAACTGTGCATGTTGCTACAGAGACCTTGATGAAAGATCCACGACACCGTCTCTGGTCTACCAGAGATAAGTCATGTGGTCCCCTACGTCCCCCAATTTTGTTTTGTTTTCTTATGGACAACTTATATTATACAAATTAGAACGTAGACAATGTTCTAGAATTTCTTTTTTATTTGACTGGTACTGGTTATTTTTAGTTTTCTATACTTTCACCTTAAGTTTTCCTATTTCTATCTGGACTTTCTTCATTTTGTTTTAACTGAATTTTTTATTCTCTTGCTTTTAAAGGAGCATTGTTCTTATTTTAAATTTTGTTAGTTAAAATAATGTCTTGATTTATAACATTTTAGTTTTAATCTGTTAAGTGTCAACTCAGTAGCAATACATATGGCAAGGGCAAGAATCCTTAATGTAGAGTTCTTACAAATCAGTGAGAAAATAAAGATGAATGCTCCCCCGAAAAAACATGTGCAAAAATTTGCATCCCAAAATAACTAGTAAATATGAGAAGAGATTCAACTTCCCTTGTAACCAAAGCAATGCAAAGATATAGTTTATTAACTACCTGGTTGGCCAAAGACATAAAAAGATGTAGGGAAATGGATACCCACACCTTACTAGTGGGAGTGTTCATTGGTGTAACACTTTCTGGAGGACTATTTAATAACACTCATGAGAAACTTTTTTAAAATTATGTAGTTTTGATCCAGCAATTTCACTTCATGGAAAGAATGGAACAAATTTGCAAAGATGTACCTATGAATAGTTAGAACACTATTCATAATTGTGAAAAATTGGGAAGAGCTTATTAATAAGGGATTTAGAGACTAAATTATGCAGTATCTATAGAAATGCCATAAAAGTGATTATGATGTCATTTATTTATATCGAAAGATTTTCACAATAAATTGTTAAGAGAAAAAAGTGAACAGATTGGTATGTGTGTGCATATGTATATATAAGTATGTTTATATTTAAACATTATGTGATGGTGGGTAAAAGTAGGTTTTGCAATAATTAATAAATAATAATACAAGAATAAACTGTGTTTCACATACAACTTTAAACCTACTTTTGCCCACTCCAGTATATCCCATTGTTTAAAAACTTACTATACATATATAAACTCATAGGAAGGTATGCAAGTACCTACACAAAAATTTTAGAAGTGTCTTTCTCCAAGTTATCAGATTATAGGTCATTTCTTTTAAAAACTTTTTTCATAATTTTTTGAACTTTTAATTCTGGGCACTTAGCAGAAGAAACATTAAAACTGTTTTTAAATGTTTCCTTTTTCTGCTACCTCAATTTTCCCTTTTTTCTTCCTCTTCTAATTCTCTGTTGGTTTTCCTCTCATTTGAAAGAGTCTTGCCACAGGGGTGGGATCCAGGAGGGGCTTCCTGCCTGCTGGGGTGGGGGGTGGTATGAGGCCTCCGCTCCCAACCACCAGCAGCCACCCTTCTAGCTTCTGGTGGATGTCCTGGAATTTGTAAGAATGACTCAAAATACTTCGCTTGCAGAGCAGGGAACCACTGCTAAACTGGTTCTGGGCTAACATCTCTGTACTTGGCACACCTGGTTTACTGAGAAACTCTTACTTTTGACATCTCATCAAGTTCTTACAGAAAAAGCTTCATATTTTAAAATCTATCATGGTCAGAACATAGCCAGTAAATGTAGAGTGCACTGGGTCTACAGCTTGCCTCGAGCCAAGAGGAGATGATCGTGGGAAAATCTCATACAGGAAGGGAAGGACCCTTTATTCACACAACCCCAGCCTAAGCTTGGGAGCGGGTAGGGTAGATGGTGTTAAAACTGCCCTGGGAAGAGACCCAGCAGAGCCTCTGAAGCTGGGGTTCTGGTACTGCTTTGATGCCAGCTTTCTCTAATGAAATTTTGTCCAAACTGCGTAGTTGCTTCTCCTGACAGGGCCACAGCAGAGACCCCTTGGTGTGTGCCTCTCTAGCTTTCTTCTTTTTAAAAAGGTGGAGACTGAACTGAATAGACATAGTAGAATTATTATGAACATGGCTTTAGAGCCGAGGTGCCCTGGACCAGTGCTGGGGCTCTCCCCATGTCAGCGTCAATGCTGGGCAAGCTGGGCCGGGAAGGACTGGACCTGCAGAAGAAGCCTGTATCCCAAACAGACCTCAGTGAAAGTAGGAATGGTGGTGGCGATCGAAGATGGTCTTTGATTATTTGCCTGACTCTCAAAGGGATGCCTGTGTTATTACTTAGTATGGTTCAAATGTCAGGATATGAGACTTAGACAACCTTGAGCGTATACATAGAAATACTTAATTTCATGTAGTAGTTACCTTCCAAAGGATCTCCTACAGGAGCCCTTGTGGGATTC